AATAATGTCGGTTTGATTTATAGAGATACCCAGTTTGAATTTAATTGGAAGATATACATACCTGGGGGCAATGCCTTGTGCATATTACCTTACTAAAATATGTTCTATTGTTAAGTTGCATTTTGAGAGTATTCTTGCAATGGCCATCAACATACCTGTGGGTTGGTCACATGTGACATTGAAATCTTGAGAATTAAAACTTAATTGACAAACCTATCGAGTTTATGGCATTTAAATTAAACACATCGCAAACTTGGGAGTCCTTCGTCCAATCGTATTCGCTCAGCGGTATCTGGTGCGGCTGACATGCATCAACCAAGGCACGATGCTGGCGAGGCACATTCCATGTTGCCATGGTGTGCCTAAATACAATATTGAATGACATACTTTCTGTATCTTAACAACGCTTCTCATCTTTTGCATCGACAAGATCACACATATCCCACAATGGATTATCTCGACCCGGAAATGATATACAAATGGGAAGCAGAACGAAGTTTCGCGCCCGACCAGTGGTATCGGCCAACCACTGTTGATCTGATTAACATTCATACCCCCGAAGTATGTCGGCTTTTTTCCACGGCCCCGCGTCATGACTTGTCCATGCGGTGCTAATCGCTTGTTGTTCGTACATTAGCACGAGATGCCAATCACTGCCAAGAGATCACTGAAACCTGCAGATCTTCATGAGTATCTATCAATGGTAGTAGACGATGAATTTATTCGTCATTTCCAAACCATACATCACGTACTAACGGGATAATTCCGGTTCTAGGAAAATACCACAACAGAAAACATGGACAATCCTGCCCGCCGAACCAGTACTCTGAGACTCATGTTAGTGGTAACCTCTGCCTTGTTCTCGCATCTCCGAATAAACTGATTGTCTCGGTAGCATAGCAGGATGTGACAAAGACAGCACCGACCTACCTGACCACGCCATAGGTAAAACTTCCTGGCAGTCTCCCATATCACGTCATGACCTTGAACTGCTTCGAATCAAATTTGGTCTCCCAAGGGCTACTTCAATGATTGTCCCACAAGGTCGTGCGCCTCATCAGGAAACGCATTTTCATCACTTCAACTTCCACACATCGGAAGCCAACGATGATCGAATTGGTAAGACCGCTTCAACTTTCGTCAGAGGCTTCCACTGACACATTCTCGAAGGAATCGCAATGATGCTCCCAGGCTCCACTCTCGTAGGAGTCTGCGCCTCCCTCTTCATGTCCTACTCACCCTCGACAAAAAGGACAAACGCATTATTACTTTGTCATCAATGGACTCAAGCCAATTACATATCAGATATCATCATCGGTTTAGCTTCATTAATGACACACCCAGCCGCTATACCCGCCATCCTCTGTAACAACTTCCAAGAATCCCTCTTAAAGCGAATGACCCGCACCTGGCACGCCGTTTTCGACGTTGAGCTTGGCAGCGGCCAAAGCGGGATAAAGATCGTGTCACCACACGAGAAGATACTCCCTTCAGGAAAATGCGATGATCCCGGTTTGAGCAGACGCGCGATAAGTGCTGCGCAGCTTGCGATTGCTTGGGATAGTTATGCGCCGCAGAGTCGGACACTGATTCATTCGGTCCTTGGGTTTCTTGATAAGCTTGATGCTGAGGGAGAAAGTAAAAGTGGGTTGTATTCGAAGCAGTCAGGGATATTGAGAGAGTATCTCGAGCTTCGATCTCTGAGAGCCGAGACGGTTTGTCATAGAGTGAGGCATCTTTTGGGGCGGGCACAAATTCAAGTAGATGCTGTCAGTATTCTTCCTGCTCAATACCGAACTGAACTGACCAAACAAAACAGATCAACAACCATCTGGCGCATACGAGTAACGAAATCAATCGAAGCCTCGCCGAGTCCTCCCAGAGCATCGCTATTCAAACACAAAGAGACAGCTCTGCCATGAAGGCCATTGCAGTTTTGACCATGACGTTCCTTCCAGCCACCTACATTGCCGTGAGTACTGGAGCGCCTAATTCTCAAGGATCTCCGAGCTAACCCACAAAGTCCTTATTCGCAACCCCCGGCATAAACTCAGCCAACCCGTCCCAGAAAATCTACTGGGCCGTCACGATCCCTCTCACCGCATTCGTCCTCGGAATCTGGGCAGTCTGGACACATTTGACTGCGAGAAATCTTCAGCATATCCCACAGAAGCTTTCCACTTCGAGCATTACCACAGACCCAGGAGCAGAAACTATGATGCTCTTTGAGGATGCACCTCAGGTTTACTCCACGGCGTCGGGGAGAGGAGAACAACAAGGGGTTGGACCAACGGCGGTTCCACTTTATGGACAGAACAGCACTTCGCGTCGACGTGGTCGGTCCGCTGTAAGCTGAATGAGCTTGAAGAGGTGATGGTGAGCTTACGTATGTCGGGACGGAACCAAGGTTGTGTTCCTAGTCCAACGGAGAAATCACCTTGGCTGACAACCAACAAATATCAAGGATTGGCCCACCTTGACAATGCAACAGTCTCCATGCAGGAATGGATCTAATCAACCAACTGATCTGTATAATTACCAACAGCATAATACTACGCTACTGCCTTGACATTTACATCTGTTGAAAAGTCACTGCCGCCTGTTCAGGACTCCAGCTTAACCCACTTCAACTTGAACTCAATAACAGAAGCAAAAACAAACCACCCTCCAAGTGCCCCACGAGTCACAATGTCCTCCCAACACGACTTTATCATCATCGGCGGCGGCACCTCCGGTCTCGTAGTGGCCGCCCGCCTAACTGAAGACCCCAACACCTCAGTCCTCGTCATCGAAGCCGGTTCCGAACACACCAACGACCCCCGTATCCGCACCCCAGCATTGTGGCTGTCCCTTCTCGGTTCCCCCGATTTCGACTGGAACTACAAAACAATTCCTCAAGTAGGACTCAACGGCAAAATCATCCCCTTATCCCAGGGTAAACTCCTCGGCGGTTCGAGCGCCATCAACGGTTTAGCATTCGTTGCCAATTCCAAGGCCGCTGTCGATGCATGGGCGGGATTTGGCAATCCAGGTTGGGACTGGGAGACTCTAGGTCCTTACTACAAGAAATTTCACACACTTGTACCCGCATCAAGCAAAGCATCCGACCACCTGCGTCTTTACTACGTCGACGAAACCCTCCATGCCAAAGACGGACCAATCCAAGCATCATTCCCCGAAGAATCAACCGATCCTCTTCCCTCCGCATGGGTCGACACAATCTCAGCTCTAGGATTCCCAGCCACCGGAGATCCATTCACCGGCAAGTTCTCCGGCGGATACATCAATCCTTTAACCGTTGACGCCAACACGCGCACACGGAGTGATGCCGCAACAGCATACTTCACCCCAGCCAAATCCCGCCCAAACCTCCACATCATAACCGGCGCACTCGCAGAAAAAATCATCTTCGACACAAGCAACCCCATCCCCAAAGCCATCGGTGTTCAAATCCAACAAGCCGGGATAACATCCATTCTCCCCGTCAAAAAAGAAATAATCCTAGCAGCAGGACCATTCGGTTCGCCCAAACTCCTCGAACTCTCCGGCATCGGCAACCAGGACCTCCTCAAAAAGTTCAACATCCCACTCCTAATCAACAACCCCAACGTAGGAGAAAATCTTCAAGATCATCCAGTCTCCACCATCAGCTTCCAAGTAAACGAAGGAGTCAAAACCATCGACGCTCTAGCCCGTCAAGACCCGGAAGCGGTAACCTCAGCCATGCACGAATACGATACCAACCAATCCGGTCCATTTGCCGTAGGAAACTACACAGGCGCATTACTTCCCGTTCCCGACTTTGTTGAACCAAAAAACGGCAAAGCAATCCTCCAGGAAGTCCTAACAAAGAACACGACTTCGAAATCTGATGACTCTGCGCCTCATCATACTTCCTTTGTTCATTCCGTTCTTGCGGACCCAACGGAGGGAGTAGGCAATATGTTCATGTATGCAGCTTGCGCAAACGTTAGTTCTCCCACAGTTGGAGCCGACATCATCGTAAAAGACGAGACACCAGCCAATTTTATTTCGATTTGTGCTGCGCTCTGTTTCCCTCTTTCGCGTGGTAGCGCGCATATTACGTCGTCTAATCCGTCAGACGAGTCTGAGATTGACCCCAGATACTTGACACATCCTTTGGATCTCGAGGTACAGGCACGTCTCCTGAGGTACGCAGAGACAATTGCTAGCACTGAACCGCTCAGCAAGTACATAGAGAAAAATGGACGCCGGAATCCAGGGGCACCTGCAAGTCTTGATGATTTGGAAGTGACGAAACAGTATGCAAAGATTTCAGCTCTAAGCTGCTGGCATCTGACAAGCACTTGCGCAATGCTTCCAAGGGATCGTGGAGGTGTGGTTGATTCTCAGTTGCATGTGCATGGGGTTCAAGGTCTTCGAATTGTTGATTCTAGCATCATTCCGCTGGCTACTCGAGGGAATACTCAAACAACTGTTTATGCGGTTGCTGAGCGGGCGGCAGATCTGATAAAACAGGACTTTGGTATTGTTTCTAGAAATTGAATGAGTTCTTTGTTGGATTGGCCAATAGCGTTCGGGATAGATACATGCTCAATCCGAAACCATTGTTCTAATGCGGAGTGTATCCGATCTGAACGAATCAACGGTCTCGATTCGGGTTCAGTTGATAGTATTGTGACGTCCAACCAGTGGAAAACCTTGAATGTAGCATAAAAAGTCCTTGGGATGCTTACAATCTCCTACACAACATTTCCACTCCCCAACGCCACCATCATGTTGAATTTTGAGTTCCTTCCGGTACCCGAGAAACTCGCGAGGATGGAGGGAGTGGAAAACAGTTTTAGGAAACTGTAGATTGTATACGTCAAGCTGAAGGAAATTTAAACAGGCAGACACTCAGCGGACCGAAAATTGTGGTGTGGCTTCCCTCTCAAACTGACGGGTGCCAGCACGCACCTGCCCGGCATTTTGGTTGTCAGTTGTCACACAGAATAAAAAAAAGATCAAAAAGTAATTTCCCACACCGGGGTTCGAACCCGGGTCGCCAGGGATTTCAATTTTGCTTGAAAACCTGGTATGCTAAACCACTACACTATATGGGAGTTTTGTTGTTCTTGAATTGGGATACAAATTTTGAGTTCATATACCTGAGTTCACAGTCAAGTTGCGATTTGACGGAGAAACGTCCCTGCCACGCACCTTGAAGCAATGGACCCCGCAGGGCTCTCCCCTATCCCCAATATTGTTCATCCTTTACATCACCACACTCTACAAAAAACTGGAACCAATCCGTGGCCTGGTTACCATTGGATTTGCAGACGACACAAATTTACTGGCAGTAGCACGAGACACAGCAACGGCATATCGAACCCTCGAACACGCATACAGAGTCTGCGAGGAATGGGCCTCGGAGAGAGGGATGAAGTTTGGGGCAGCAAAGAGCGAGCTTATGCATTTCA